CATAAAAGGTAGCTGATTCTAAGTTTACAGATTAATTTAAACACCAATGGAACAGAATAGAAAGTCCAGAAATGGATTCCAATATATTTGGGAACTTATTAAGTGATAAAGGTAATTAAAGTCAGTGCAGAAGGGACAAACTTTTCAACAAATGGTGCTGGAAGATTTTAAAGTCACTTCGAAAATACAAAGTAGGATAATATCTCACATCATATACCAAGAAAAACTCCAAATGGAATAAATATTTAAATGTAAAGAAACAAGGCCATGAATATACTAGAGGAAGAAACAAGCAAATTCCTTTACAGCCTTGGAGTAGGGGCAAAGCTTTTCCAACTATGACTTAAAACACTTTAAAAGCCATCAAAAAAAAAGGACCAATAGAGTCAATTTATAAATACAAACTTCTTAACTTTTTTTTTTTTTGAGACAGAGTTTCACTCTTGTTGTCCAGGCTGGAGTGTAATGGCACAATCTCGGCTCACCGCAACCTCCGCCTCCCAGGTTCAAGCAATGCTCCTGCCTCAGCCTCCCTGGTAGCTGGGATTACAGGCATGTGCCACAACGCCCAGCTAATTTTGTATTTTTAGTAGAGACGGGGTTTCTCCATGTTGGTCAGGCTGGTCTCGAACTCCCAAACTCAGGTGATCCACCCACCTCGGCCTCCCAAAGTGCGGGATTACAGGCGTGAGCCACCGCGCCCGGCCTTAATGTTATTTTAAAAATAAACTCTGCATGGCAATAATCATGATAATAATGAGCAAAGTAAAAAATAAAAAGGAAAACCTAGCAAAATATTTGCAACTTGCGTTACATATTAAAGACTCCAAGTAACTTCAGGAACTTGATAAAAACTTGATCAAACTGATTTTAAAATGTACCTCAAAAAAGAAAGAAATAGATCAAGATTCAAAAAATGAGCAAAGTATAGGATCAGGTAAGTTCACAGGAAAAGAAGTAAATACCAATGCTCCTTAAACACATGGAAGAATGATCAACTACATTAAGACATAATTTTTATCTAACTGGCATACACCCCAAATCCTGAAAACACACTGTATCTGAAGCCGTATGATACTAGGCACTTTCCACATTGTTGTTGAGGATGCAGACTGATACAATCTGGTGATATTTACCAAAACAACACATGAATTTACCTTTTGACTCAGCAGTCCCTTATCTAGAAATTGATTCTATACATACACATTTCTAAATGACACAGCAGCATGTTTACAACAGCAACAGTTTGCAAACAACTCAAGTATCCATTGATAAGGCTACAGAAATCAACAAGGGTATATCCACACAATATTACGAGTTGTCTAAAAGGAAAAAGTGTGGAAGCCCTTTACGTGGCACTATGGAAATTATGAAAATGTCTCCAAGATACACTGTAAGTGAACAAAGCAGAGAACACAGTAGATATGCTCTTTTTTTGTAAAGAAAGAACAAAAATAAGATATATACATCTATTTACTTATAATGAAGTGAAAAAACTCTGGAAGACTACAAGAATTTACTCAAAGTGGGAGAGGTATAGGGGGAGAGGAGAAGTCAAGGAGAAGCAGGGGTGAAATGAGACTTTTACATTGTATATAATCTTTTTTTTAAAATCTCATTTACTTTTCAACCTATTCTATAAAATAAAGCCATTTTAAAAGATTTCAAGTTTTTGGATTCTTTCCATCATTTAAAATTAGACATATACCAGACTAAAGAAATGATCTATGTTACCCAATGTTAAAACACTGGTAAGGATGTTTAAAACTCCTGTAATTAAACAGCATGGTACAGGTGCAAAAATCTCATAAACTGAACAAAACAAATAGCCCCAAAACAGCATATAAGAAATCAGTAGGCCGGTCGCGGTGGCTCACCCCTGTAATCCCAAAACTTTGGGAGGCCAAGGTGGGTAGATCACAAAGTCAGGAGTTTGAGACCAGTCTGGGCAACATCGTGAAACCCCGTTTCTACTAAAAACACAAAAATTACCCAGACGTGGTGTTGGGCACCTGTAATCCCAGCTACTAAGGAGGCTGAGGCAGAAGAATCACTTGAACCCGGGAGGCGGAGGTTGCAGTGAGCTAAGATCGTGCCACTGCATTCCAGCCTGGGCCACAAGGTCAGACCCTATAAAAAAAAAAAAAGAAAGAATAAAAGAAAAAAAGAAATCAGCAAATCACTAAAATGGAAACAAAAACCAGGGAAAGAATGTTAGGACAACTGGTTAACTACTTTGAAAATCCACTCCATTTTGTTTTACCACGGAACAAATAAATCTCAGATAAAAATGCCCTGAAATATTATATTACAAAAAGTAACAGAACATACAGGTCAATATTTATTTGATTTCTAAAAGATGTCTAGAGTCTAAAAACAATCAGAAATTGCAAACAGGGAAAACATTTTGACTTAAAAAGATTCTGCATCTCAAAAATCAAACAAATACACTTAAGTAAAGTACAAGGATAACAGCATCAGAAGTAGAAAGCAAATACATTGTCAAACATCTGGCTCCAGTTCTTTGGTGCCATATATATTTGCAAAGTTTTCTTTTTTGTTCTTTTAACATTCCTCATCAGTTTTGAGAAAGAGATAAAATGTTTTTCATCTGAGTATTATTTCCTCTCTAGTGAGCTACTGATAGCAAAACCAATAGTACTGAAACTGTAAACACGGGTAGGACTAGCGATTACAGTCTCAGCAGAAAATTTCAGCCCATATGTAAATATTACGTAGAATTTGTTTATCCAATCTGTATAAATGATTCCTCTTTTAGCTCTTTTGTTTTTAATCAAATAAAGTTAGACTGCCTCACCAGCTTGCCACAAATGATTTATTTTTGCAATAACCACAGGGAAGAGTGAATTTTGTTTTTTTGACAGCCTAATTAATGTTAAGGTACATATGAAGTACAGGTTGAGTTATTCCTTATCTGAAATGCTTGGGACCAGAAGTGTTTTGAATTTCAGATTTTTTCAGATTCTAGAGTATCTGCATATACATACTGAGGTATCTTGGGGATGGGATCCAAGACTCAACACTGAAATTCACTTGTGTTTCATATACACCTCATACACATAGCCTGAAGGTAATTTCATACAGTATTTTAAATAACTGTGTGCATTACACGAAGTTGTGTTAAGTACTTATGTACAGAATTTTCTAGTTGCGGTGTCATGGCACTAAAAAAGTTTCATATTTTTCAATTAAAAAATGGGCAAATGATCTGAAGAGTCATTTCTCAAAGGAAAGCATACATGAAAAAATGCTCAGCATCACTAATCATCAGGGAAATGTGTATCAAAACCATAAGGAGGTATTTTCTCGTCTCAGAATGCCTATTCTATTCTCGAAAAAAATGCTGGTATGCTGGTGAGGATGCAGAGAAAAGGAAACTCGTATACACACCGATCTTGGGAATGTAAATTAGTATGACCACTACAGAAAATAGTATAAAGTTTCCTCAAAAACTAAAAAAAGAACTACCACATGATCCAGCAATCCCACTACTAGAGCCAAAGAAAAAGCCATCAGTATGTTAAAGAGATATCTGCCTCTCTTGTTTATTGCAGCATTATTCACATTAGCCAAGATATGAAATCAACTTAAGTGTCCATCAGATGAATGGATGAAGAAAATGTGGTGTATATATATAGAATGGAATACTGTTCAGCCATAAAAAGAACAAAATCCTGTCATTCACAGCAACATGGATGAGCCTAGAGGACAATATGTTTAGTGAAATAAGCAAGGCACAGAAAGATAAAGAACACACGTTGTCACTCACACGTGGAAGTTAAAAAAGTTGATCTTACAGAAGTAGAGCGTAGAATAGTGGTTACCAGAGGCTAGGAAGGATTGAGGGAGAGGGATAGGGAGAGGTTGGTCAATGAATGCAAAATTACAGCTACAAAGAGGGAATAAATTCTAGTGTTCTATAGCACTGGTAGGGTGACTACAGTTAACAATAATTTATTGTATATTTTCAAATAGGGGACAGGATTCTGAATGTTCCCAAAACAAAGAAATGATCTATGTTTGAGATGATGGATATGTTAATCACCCTGATTTGATCATTATACATTGTATACATACATCAATATATCCCATTATACTTTACAACTATGTACAGTTATTACGTGTCAACTAAAAAGAAAAAAGTTTCAGATTTTAGATTTGGATTAGGGATCCCAATCCCAAATCCAAATGCTCTAAAATCTGAAACTTTTTCTTGAATGCTCAACCTATATTCCATTCCAGGGAGGCAAAGGAACAGGCAAATAGTTGGCATATTTAACCCATTAGTAACTTGCTCCTATTTAAGTTTATTCACAGATGAATATATCCATATAGTCATATGATAGTTTTAATTCCTTAACAGAGTTAAGGAATCCAAGAAGGCCATCTAAAAAAATGAAAAGGAAAAATAATGACCATTAAACAACTCCCTGATTTTACAGCCAACCAAAGCAGGAAGTTACAGTTATTTGTAGTTCATGGCAGTGCACAGCCCCCTCTCCTGTACTGCAGTTACACCTTGTTCCTCTGGGCCTCAGCAATCTGCCCTGACTACCTCATGGCAAGCCATCACTATGGCACTGCCATTAGCACAAAAGGGTATTTACAGTCAGGTAAAGACACGTGGACAAGGCTACCATCCCTAAGATCAAAGAATCAATATTTAAAGCACAAAATGCTTTTGAATTTTTATGTGGGAAAAAGACGTGGCAAATGAAACAGGATTAAAGGGCATCCTTTTTTAACATTATAAAATATTTAAATATATAGAAATGTAGAAAAATGGTACCATATATACCCACTCAACACTTTGCCATTTTGTTTCATTATTTAAGTTTATTAGCTAAGCCATTTTAAAGTTACACGATAGTTCACTTTCAAATCACTCAATGTGCATATCCACTACACCACTGTAACTAACAAATCTAAAATGACTCGTCTCATACCTAATTAATTTTCTCCACCGTAATTCGAATTACCTGTGAATTATTTCTTTGTTCAGTTTGCCTTCCACCTCTAGAAAATGTCTGATTTTTTTCCATCCAAGGTTTTTTCTGAGTTGCCTGGCAAGTTACATTGGACCAATTTACACCACCTATAACAAATACAATTTTAAATTATAATTTACTTATAAAAGACAGGAAAACCTAAATTGACCTGATTTCATATACTGAAATTCAGTCACTAGAAATGCAATACTGAAAATTTTTCTATACACCTTTTTTTTTTTTTGAGACGGAGTTTCGCTCTTCTTTACCAGGCTGGAGTGCAGTGGCGAGATCTTAGCTCACTGCAACCTCCGCCTCCTGGGTTCAAGCAATTCTCCAGCCTTAGCCTCCCAAGTAGCTGGGATTACAGCCGCTCACCACCAAGTCCAGCTAATTTTTTTGTATTTTTAGTAGAGACGGGGTTTCATCATGTTGGCCAGACTGGTCTCAAACTCCTGACCTTAGGTGATACACCTGCCTCGGCCTCCCAAAGTGCTGTGATTACAGGCGTGAGCCACCTTACCCAGCCCTATAAACTTGTAAGTAGTACTACAGTTCTTAGTAATACAAGTGTCCTCCTACAGAATATCTCCAGCTGGCATTTTCTCAAGCTGATCAGCAAAACTGTACTTCCAAATTACCTTGAATCTCTGCAAGATTTCTAAGTTTTGTTTGCAATATCAGCACGCCTCATGCTTAAAAGGAAAACTTTGATAATGGACAAAGTAGAAAGTATAGCAAAAACACAATGCAGAAAATAAGTACCTGCACACATAGATGATTCCACATGCTAAAAAAAGAAACAAAAAGACAATTATACTCTACTTGAGAACCAACATTATGTACTTTGCTAAATGTTTTATAATTTAGTGTGAAGCATGCATATCACAATATTATCATACTTATTCACAAATGAACATTTTTATTAATAAAATACAAAATACATTTGTAACTATCCTATTACTGTAGTAATTGTTAATGAAAACAGATACTTAAGCTTTAGCAGAGGATGCAAAATAATAATACTGATATCAATGACCAATAAAGAAATCAAGACGATGCCACATACATTCATGGTCCCAGAATCAGGATTTCTTACAGCCCCTGCTGCAGGCTGGTTGTTGCTGTGTTTGGGACTGCAGTAACCACTGTCACTGTCAATGTCAGCTTCACTAGCCCCCTGCTCACTAGAAGATTCAGCAGTGGGGTGGGATGCTCTTCTTCTCCTGCCCTTGGACTTCCAGAGCATTGTGGCAGTGGTCTCTGAGAGAGACTTGTTAGCGATATCTGATGGGAAATCTACAAAGGCAAGGAAAGTGTGACAATTGTTTGTGATGAGCAAATTGATAAATTCTCATTAAATCATCATTAAGATTGTAAGAAAATAGATACCAAATTTCATAAATGAAGAAATAGGTGACAACTTTTTGAAAAGTTCATTAAAAGGTAAGATGTTCCTGGTAAGTTGGTTAATGTTTTTTGTTTTTCTTGAGGCAGGGTCTCAGTCTGTTTCCCAGGCTGAAGGGCAGTGGCACAATTTTGGCTCACTGCAACCTCTGCCTCCCAGGCTCAAGCAATCCTTCGATCTCAGCCTCCCAAGTAGCTGGGACTACAGGCATGCACCACCACCACACCGGGGTTATTTTTTGTAGAGACAGGGTTTTGCAGGGTTTCGCCATGTTGCCCAGGCTGGTCTCAAACTCCTGAGCTCAAGCGATCCACCCAACGTGACCTCCCAAAATGCTGGGATTACAGACATGAGCTACCTCACCCAGCCTGTGTGTTTTTATTATGAAGACAGACTAACATATATCACTAAAATACTAAAATCACCATCAACCATTTAGGAAAGAGAATATCATCAATCTTTTGAAGGTTGCTGTGTGTTCCCCTCCACTACTATACCATTTTCTTAGCCCAGAGCTTACCATCTATTCTGAATTCTGTGCATATCATTCCTTCACTTTTCTTTATAGATTTACCATGGATTTCTGTATTTCTAAAACCTAAATCATATAATTTTCCAGTTTTCAACTTTATTTTAAAACACCACTTTGCCCATGTGACTTCTCACCCCTGCCACACCTCAACACTGGCTTTGAGATTGTGGTGCATGTGTTATAATTCATTAATGCCACTGGAATCTAGAACGCCTTTACATGAATATACCTCAATGTACTTATCCTTTGTACCACTGATAAGACACCTGAGTTGTTTCGGAGTTTTGCTACTAAGAACACTATTATTGTTGACACTGATACACAGACACGTGAATGTGCATACATGCATATGTAAGTTTCTCTACGGTAAATACTGCCAGAACTTAGGGGATGCACATATCCAACTTTACTTGATGCCCAATCATTTTCAAAGGTACTTAATAGACAGTTATACTCCAACAATAGTATATTCACCCAATGATCCATACATTCATTAAATACTTTACATTATCATCCAGACTGTACCTAATCTGTTGGGTATAAAATGGTGGCTCATTGTGGATTTTAATTAGTATGTTCCTGCTTAATAATGAGGCTGATCTTTTTTTTTTTTCTTTTTTGCTTTTAGCCACAAGTGTTTTCCCTTCTGTGAAATTTTTATTAATATTACTTTTGAATTATCTGACTTCTGCCATTTTTCTGAGTTGTATTTCTTATTTCACAAATTATAATTGCAGCAAGACATTCCAAAAAACAAAAAACAAGACTTTCTATGAACAAATTACAAGTTTTCCTTTTTCCACATTTCTGCCCATTCATAATTTTTATACAACACTGATTTAATTTTGAGTTGTACTCTGCTTAATATGATGTCATGTTATGACAAGTCTTCATAATTATCAGATGACTCCATATTATTCCACTGAGCGGGTGTCCTGTACTTAGAGTAGTGTCCAAGCAAGACTTGTTACCTGCTACTAGTGGACACTATGAAAGCTTCAGTACTTGTGCTGCACTGTGGCAATATGCACCTTTAATCAAATAGCCCCCTCTCTTTCTAGGGGGAGGCTCCATTTGGACACATTCATAGGAATGAGATGGCTGGGTCCAAAGAAAAATTCCTATATTCCTGCAAAATTGTTTAGCCTACCAGCACAGTGTTCCACGGGCCCCAAGGACAGGGTAGGATCATTCTCTTATCGATTCATGTTAATTCTTTATACATCTCATGCTAATCCTTTGTCAGTTATATACATGGTAAAAGTCTTTTCCAAGTTGGGGCCTATTCTTTCACTTACTTTTAATAAACAGAAATTCTTAATTTTAGAAACAGTTCCCTCCCTGCAGTCATAAAGTTATCTGCCTACATTTTCTTCTATCATTGGGCTTCCCTACATCCTTAATCAATCTGAAATAGATTTGCATGGGGCACAAATCGGCAACGCTCTTTCTGTCATCTTCCATATACACGTGTTTTCATACACATGTGGGGTCTGTTTCTAGGCTCTCTGTTCTGTTTGACTTTTGTATACTGCATCGACAAAATAAATCTATAGGAATTAAGACAGCTTTATAAGTTTCCATATCTAGAGGAAAAGTTCTTTTCCAGGGATGTCTTGGGTCTTCTGAGACCACTGTTCCTTTATTTTAGAATTAGTTTATCAAGCTTCCCCAAAATTACTTTGAACATGATATTTAGGTTTTTCTTAATGTCCCATAATAAAGACTTATCACTTTCTTTTTTATTTTTCTTTCAAGACAGAGTCTTGCTTGGTTGCCAGGCTGGAATGCAGTGATGCAATCTCAGCTCACTGCAACCTCCGCCTCCCAGGTTCAAGTGATTCTCCTACCTCAGCCTCCCAAGTAGCTGGACTACAGGCACCTGCCACCACACAGAGCTGATTTTTGTATTTTTTAGTAGAGATGGGGTTTCACCATATTGGCCAGGGTGGTCTTGAACTCCTGGCTTCAAGTGATCTGTCTGCCTTGGCCTTCCAAAATGCTGGGATTACAGGTGTGAGCCACCACACCCAGCCTAGTCTTACTATTTTCTGCTTACACATCCCATACGTCTTCTCTTAAGATTTCCAGAAACTCTCTTTTTCAGTGTTATTGTTAATGACATCTTTTTTTTAAATTTTGTGGGTGGCAAACTGAAATGCAATTAACTTTTGTATATTATATTAGATCCAGCCGTCTTATTATAAACTCTTTTTAAATACTGAGCTTGTGTTCAAATGTAAAAATCTGTTACAAATGGAAAGACATTCCTAATAAACTATAATATTTAATTTGATCTCTGCTTGATACCAATTAATCCTCAGAAATTAAAAACTTAACTGAAGAATAAAAATACTGATAGAATTACAATCCTTGAACTTGAAAACTAAAAATAAAAATACTAATAGAATGTACAATATGTAATATTCTATCCAAATTCACCTTTATCTTTTCATTTTCTAATTCCTATGCCTCAGAGTGTCTTTGTGGTTAAAATAACAAGCAACATAAAGAAGTAAGGATATTTTAAAGCCTTCCCAGGGTTAAAAGCACATAGCAATGGGTCACTATGACTAAAGATAACCAAACCAGAAAACTTTGTAATATATTACATTGTGATTCTTTTCCATAGCCACTCCAAGTATTTGTCAGTCTGTTAATCTCAAAGACGCATGCCTTTATTCTTTAACCACACAATAACTGTACTATCAGCAAGACTTTTTAAACTGATTTTCAGATCCTTTCTCTGCTCCTAATAGATCTAAGCAACCGTAAAAAGATAAATAGATCTCCAAAAGAAAAGGTATAACCTAAGTGAAAAAAGCATAAGCCATCTTATTCATTTCAACTCAGACCTCATTTGAATGGAGGCTGTACAGAGATAGAAAAGCTAATTATGACTTTGAATGGATCTTAGTCTTGGATCATGAACAAAGACTGTTTACTAGTGTCACTGACTATGGATGAGAGGAGATAAACATCTACTCTACAGATAATAAACTGAGATCAAGGATACAAAGCGAAATTTCATAATATAAACTGCAAAAAATAGCACATTGTAAGAATATTAATTCTTGTCTATTACCAGGTGAAAGCTTTTTTATTTAATGCCTGTACAGTCCTCTAAAAATGTTTGACAAAATGATATTTGACTAGTTCAAAATTTGTACTTAACAGGATATAGATGACATACATAGGTTTGGTTCAGATCCACGCCAAAATATGCCATAGAAACTTTGCTAAGTTCTTTCTATGAAGATGTATAGGATATTAGGATGTTTTATAAAGGGTTTTAATCTAGTTATAAAAACATGTACAACTTTAATTTCAACCAAAATGAGTTCCTCAAATTTCTATAGTATCTGCAAAATTCCATCTCTGGTTTCTGAACTACTCCATTATTACAAAAGGAAAAGGACACCTTAAACCCGCCCAAAATTGTACACAAGGCCAGCAAGCAAATTGAAAGAACATTAAGGACACAGATTGCTTTATCCTTCCTAGAGAATTTCACAAAGTGGTAGGACAAAAGAAAGGATGAAAGTCTACAATTCTGACAAGTGGTACAGACTACAATTATAAAGTGACAAATGAAAAAAGATCAAAATCAGTGATGCACATGTAAGAACCCTTGCCTTACCAGTTTGCTGTGAAGCATCTACCAGAAGCACAATTTTTGATCGACTATCGGGACCTGCTGCACTTGTTTCTTTCTGAGTAGCTACATTTTTCACCAGCGGCCTTTTGCTTTTTATATGCTGTTGTAAAAGTTGTTGCTGATTTAAAAAAAACAAAAAACACACAACTATTCAATGTACTAAACATTATAAAATACACATCTATTACAAAATACAGCTAAGTATATGTTCAAAATTCTTGGCTTCCATGGGGCAATAGTATTAGGGTTTCATGAAATACCTGCAGCAAAGCATAATAGGCTAAACAATGTATTATACACACATTTATACACTTTTTCAAATAACAACACAAGTATGATTAATAAATGAATTCATTTTTAACTGCTACTTGTATTTTTTATTTTCTCAGTCAAAAAGTAATTAATAGCAAGGGTATAATAATGTCATATAAGGGGTATAATAATGTCATATAAGTATGATTAATAAACGAATTCATTTTTAACTACTACTTGTATTTTTTATTTTCTCAGTCAAAAAGTAATTAACAGCAGGGGTATAATAATGTCATATAAGGGGTTGTAAATTTCTTTTAAAAGGTAACTTATTGCAAAGTAAATTTTAGTTTCAGAAAAGCAATGACATGAAAAATGATTTCTGCTTCAGAATTCAAGAAGAAAATATAAAAAAGTTGATCCTATCAGGGCACAGTGGTTCACACCCATTATCCCAAACTCCTGGGCTCCTAGGCTGGAAGATCACTTGAGGTCAGAAGTTTGGGACCAGCCTGGGCAACATACAGACCTCCGATCGCTACCAAAAAAAAAAAAAAAAAAAAGACATCAGTAGTCTCAGCTACCCAGGAAGCTGAGGCAGAAGGATCACTTGAGCCCAGGAGTTTGAGATTACAGTAAGCAATGATGGCTCCACTGTACTCCAGCCTGGCTGACAGAGCAAGACCCTGTCAATCAATCAATCAATATTAAAAAACTGATCTCTTCCTTTACTTTTAAAAATATAAGTATTCATCACTTCATAGCAACTTACACAATAGAACTCTGAATTTAACTTCTTGAACTTCCTAAACTGACTTGCTGGGAATGTATCCTAAGAAATCATGTTCCTTCAACATCTGGAAATTTTATACTACTATCTTATTTCTAACACTTTTTTTTTTCCATTCTGAGTTCCCAAAAGGATATTCCTTGACCAAGAATGTTTCCATGAACAAAAACTAAAAGCTTTTGAAAGCAATCTCTGCTGCTTGTATTTCAATTTTTAGAAATTATACGAGGAAGCAGCAAAGACTTCACTGAAGAAATTGGGCTAATGGAATCTTAGGGAAAGCATCAACTCCTTGATGATGTACTCGTAAGATATGTCTAAGATGTACCTCTTCTATCAGCTAAAAAGTGCTAACTTAGAAACATGTTCCTTCTTCCCATTAGCTTTGACAATAAGGCTTCAACTGTAAAATAGCCTTTTAAGTTAAAAAGTTAACTAAAATTAAATCTTAATTCTCTTGTGAGTCTAAGCCTTCATTTCTTTTTCTTTTTTTTTTTTTTTTACTTAGTCAGAAGGTTGGTACTGAATAACTGGTTTCACATATTTATCTTTCATTTTCTTCAGTCCTAGGAGACCCTTATTCATATAAAAGTAAAGCATCTCTTAAATAATAAACTGCTATTCCTACTAAAAATTCACAGATTAAAAACAATAAAATTGAAAGGATCTAATGAATCACAAATGTTCTTTTCCATAATGTCTCCTGCTAACTTTTGAATATAGCTTTTGGGGTTTGTTTTGTTTTTTTTTTTTTGAGACAGGGTATCACTCTGTCACCTAGGCTGGAGTGCAGTGGTGCTATCTCAGCTCACTGCAGTCTTGACCTCCTGGGCTCAACTGAACTTCCCACCTCAGCCTCCCAAGTAGCTGGAGCTACAGGCATGCACTAACATGCCCAGTTAATTTTTGTATTTTTGTTAGAGATGGGGTTTCACCATGTTGCCCAGACTGGTCTCAAACTCCTGGGCTCAAGCGACTAGCCTGCCTTGACCTCCCAAAGTGCTGGGATTATAGGTGTGCGCCACTGCACCTGGCCAATTGAAATATCTTGAAATGAATTAGCCATTCAACACAGCTAGCACAAGATCCACACTAATCACTTATGAAGGCTGGTGTCACCATGCAATTTTTATCCCTAAATTAATTTGTAAATATTTCTGCCTTATGTTATGTAAAACTCTCTAAAGGGAACATGAAAATGATTATCAATCACACCACGATTAAGAATGAGGAATAAACAACACAAAGAAAATTATTTTAAGAATTACATACCCTTTACCATTTCACAATAGGAACAGTATGTTTTATAGCAAATTCAGCATTAACAGTCAATCAACCCAAGTAGCAACTTACTTATACTAATATAAGTAATATCAAATTTAAAAGCCAATCAAGACCAGACACTTACTTTTGGGACCACTGATCCTCTGTTACTGTTTCTGTTTCGATGACTGGACAATGGGAAGACCTGTCCAAGCTGACTTGGACGCTCAGTGCATTCTGTGGTGATAGCATTTACAGTATTTGCAGCTTGAAAGGTGTTGGAGTAAGGTGTAGGAAAAGGATGATAGAAACCCATAACCTGGGCACATGGTGCTGGCATCAGCTGATAATATGTATACTCTGTAGAAACAGGTGGCTGAGCAGATATAATGGGGTAGGCAAAGTATGGTCCAGTAGGGTTTGGATTGGGTTGCTGCCATCGTATATCATTGTTATATAAAGGAAACTGTCTGTAAAACCAAATCAAAGAAGAACAAATCTACTGACAAGTCTAAAAACTCCACTAAAGCAAAATCTCTTACACTAATAGAAGACAAAACAGTACAGAACAGTGGCTTTGTGATAATTTTGGGAAAGGAGACAAAACTATCATCATCTTATACATTTTTTTGCTACAGAGATCATTATGTACATGTAGTAACATGTAAACAACAGTATAAACGAACCCAACCTGATGGTTTTACAGTATTCCACGTACCAGTATAGTTTGTAACTCTGCCTTCAACTTCCTCAAGATATTTCTGCCTAAAAGTTAAACACTTAGCTACTGGATCTACCAACAATGGCAGTCCAAAGTTCCCATTCAAGGTAAACAACTGTGACAGCCTTCTGTAAAGAACAGAGTAAAGTGACCATTGTGTAAGGTGACCGTTACACAGGGTGATTTAATTCCTCCACCTCTCATTCTTCAGCTCAATCCCAGAGCCTACTCCTCCTCCTCTCATACTCCCCTAATCACTTGGCCAAGTCCAGCTCTTTTCCTGGCTCCCCTCCTGGCAATAGAAGCAGGCTCTGGGTCCAAGGGAAAGAAGAGAAGAGGCAAATCTGTTCACGGACATCTTCAGCGGTGGAGCTGCTTCTAGTGTAGTTCATATAAAACACTAGCAAAATTCTTCCTATCCCAGCAGCCCCCCACCAAATCAATACAGGGTCCTAGGGAGTAGGGAGCTGAAGCATAGAGCTTTTCCTCATTACTCCCATGACAAAGCAAAACAGTAAAATGTTCACGGCCATATTCCTAAAAATATTTTTAAAATAATCTGTTGGCTGGTTTACTCATGAATTCACAAAGATCATTTGGTAAACCAAGAAAATCAATTAAGTTTATCATACTGTATACGTGGCCATTTTTTCAAATAGAAAAATAGTATTATTAAATTTAGTTTCATGAATCAGTTTGCACATTATCCAATATAGGCAAAGGTATTTAATATAACACTAACTTCAGTTGAAAATGATTCCTTAGTTCCTACTATTTGTCTAACCCTCAAGACTCTTTATTAAGAGTCTCAGAATATTAACTTGAACACTTAATATCTGAGTAGTTGAATGGCCTTATATACCATACATCCACAATTTCTCAAAGAATGTGCACTGGCTGGCACACTAGTGTGCAACAATGGTTTAGAGATGGGGTAGAAATATTGATTGCCTCAGCCCTCAGGAATGACAGAGCCTATAGCCAGTCACCAGCTGTCTCATCCATGTATAGTCCTAGACAAACAAAATTTTCTGTGACATAACTTGAAAAAGGCTGAAAGTACTTTTATACAGCAATAAAATAAACTCTACCAATGAAGTGCTCATCACTCAGACAGTGTAAGCAGGGTTAGAATGGCTATCATGACCATCATAAGTAACACCCTAACCACTAAGTTACACATGACCTAATTGCGGGCAATTTTGCTAAATCATCCTGTAACTATAGCACAGACATAAATTTAAACTAAAAGCTGAGTCTAGAAATATTAATATATACTAACCATGACAGCTTCAAAGTTAAGGACTATTGCTTGGTATTTTCTTTTACACCAGAGACTGTCTTGGCAGCTATGAGATTAGATGTTTAATCTCAAAAAAAAAAAAAACAAAAAGGTTTTGTTCACCTCTGAATATTTTATTTCTCCCTTTGAGCTGACTTACTTCAAATAAATTTCAATGACTTACTGAAGGAGACATAGCCTAAGAATTCAATTTTCCCTTAGAAAAAATAAGAAACTAATCCATATTAACAATTTCCAAATTTCAGTATCATTTTATTTACTCCTCTTAATAGAGAAATGATTAAAGTCTAAAAGTTACAAAAGAAAAATATTAAGTACACTTTGTCAGCTTTTATGGCCACCCCCACGAAAAAGAAAATAAAAATAAACAAATTACCTATTAGACTGGTTTTCCTGCACAAATGGGTAACAGGTAATCAGGTAGCTGGGAATTGGAGTTGGTTCTACACCAGAAACACTTCCGTTATCATTTGGGAGAGCCATCGGGATCATAAATGTATCAGGACTCTTCTTCTGGGGAATAAATGGCTCTACCTCAGCTGACAGCTTGACATTCTTCAAAGAGAAAGTAGAATACATTAATAACAAGCGAGCAAGCAACTTCCTACAAATTCACAATTTAACAACAGAAGAGGCAGTCCTTATAAACAGTAATTAGGTCTCTTCTCAGCATTCATAAAACATCCAAAAGGAAGAGCAATGTCAATTTTAAAATAACTGAATAATGATCAAGTTATTTAGACAAAGCCACCAAATAAGGAAAATAAATCAAATGTTACATTTCAATGTAATTAAAGCTGTTAAAACAATCAAGAAAATACAGAAGTCATACATCAGGGTCTAAAAATAAAGTTGGTAGTAAGAGATGTAGCTCTTCAGACAATGTGTTTTTAACTCATTTTGTTGGGGGAAAAATTGAACAAAATTATTGAAGGATAATTAATACTCTATATTTGTTTCAATAGTCTTAAAAGTTGACTATTTCTGTCCATTTCTGGAAATTAGATCGGTATCATTAAAAGAAAAGAAAATGTCTAAGATGGAAAAATACTTAACATTAAGAAGAAAATATCTGCACAGTTATACTGGGGAAAAGATGAGTACTTCAGTTTCCCAGTACACATCTGAGTAAACTAAAGTAATCCAAGATATGTAATCCATTTTAGTTTACTTGTATCTTTTCTTATAAGAAATCTATACAGCTTTAAAAGACATTAAAAAAAAAAAACAAAAAAAAAAACCCTGTAGTATTTAGAGATGCACACATGGGCAACAAAACTGTAAAGAAAAGTAAATAAAATCCATAAAAGTCAGGATAGGACTTATTCTTAGCAAAGAGAGTTGTGATTAAGAGGCATCTGGAGAGCTTCCAGGGTGCCTGGCAAAGTTTTATATCCTAACCAGGATAAAATTTACAAGGTGTTTGTCCTGTAACAATTCATCAAGCTGTACATTGGTTTTATGCAGTTTCTATATGTTATAGTTAACAACAAATTTAACATTTTAAATTATTTTTTGAAATCCTTAAGTACATTCTGTAAAAAATCATATAAATATAACATCAAATGATATGAACATGTTTTAATGAAACCAGTAAGTGAAATGCAAGTTAATGTTTTTAACTACTCTAAAAAATTACCTTTAAAGCCACGGCCCTAGCCAGAACTCTTCCCCAACAAACCCACTAGGGTGATAGTTATTAGAAGCTCCCATCAAAGCATAGTTTTAAGAATAAATTTCATGTTTCTCACAAAAGCAGTTAGTAAGGAATCCAAGTAAAAAATCTGAAGATGAGATATGCTCATTTGTTTCAGAAAAATTAAGTTCTCTAAAAAGTTCACTGTAAATACTCATAAATGCTTGTTAAAAGGGATGGAGTGGGGATGGTAAAATCTGAACTGTACAGCAGTATTAATTCAGTATCCTTCCTCCCCACCTGATTTGAGGTTTACATTTGTACAATTAACCAAATCAGAAGTAGATATGCTATAATAATAATATAAATAGTAGTGAATTGAAGTTGGTTTCTTAAAGATTAACATAAGAGGCAAAAACATCTTCAAACTCTAATGATATAAGCTAGTAATTTTCACTCTGTGATATTCATTAGAACCCAGACTCACTTATATAGGACACAATATATCAAAACAATAAATATTTCCCCAATTAGGAAAAAGAAAAGCCGACTTACAGCAATAATATAAAGATAATGGAAGCTTGCTTTATACAGTTCACACATACATGCCGAAGAAAAGAAACTGAAATCACGTTTTAACTGCACTAAAAATACAATTTTTAGGATTTTTTTTTAAGGGTCTCACTCTGCCATGGGGTGGGGATGGGGGTAGGGTGCAGTGGTATGATCATGGCTCATTGCAGCCTCAATCTCCTGGACTCAAGTGATCCTCCTGCCTCAGCCTCCCAAATAGTTAGGACGACAGGTGCACATTACCACACCCAGTAAACTTTTTAACGTAGAGATGGGGATTTGCCATGTTTCCCAGGCTGTTCTTGAACTCCTGGGCTCAAGTGATCCTCCCACCTCGGCCTCCCAAAGTGCTGGGATTATACGCATGAGCCTGGTCAGGATTTCTTTTAAAAACGAAAAAGTCCTTTACGACGTATGAGAACTCACTGAGCAGTTTTATAAATCTGAGCTAGTAGACTTTCAGGGTTTTTTCCAGCACGGTATATGGGTACATCAAATTATCAGTCTTAACCACACTAATATAATTATGAATAAATAATTTTAAAATAACACTTTTCCTGACCTCTCCCCCAGAAAAATATCAACTCATAAATTACCTTGGTAGCAATAAATTCAAATTCTTGCTCAGGTCGAAAGTTGCAAAAGATTTTTACACCCCACTTCATTTGTACTTTATAAAAGGTTTTATAAACTTAGGCAACCTACTGTTTAAAAGGTATTCTGTATAATTCAAAACTAATGTCTGTACATACATACAGCATGTGCCTTTAAATATTAAAGTTTGTATTGGCTTATATTCTAAGTGCAATTCTAGATATCAGAGCTCAACAATAAAACTCACAAACACTAAAATGATCCTTTGTTTTTAGCACAAAAAAAAAGAGAGAGAGAGAGGCTGCTATAGTCAACAGCTGCACAAACAGAAGATGTCACTAGTAGGAACAGACTGGCAAACTTTCTCCTATAGCTACAACTCTGTATGGTTTCAAAAGCTGTTTATTGTGACTTTGCGGCCTTCAGTAATATACATCAAAATGCAGCATCTGCTGTTCTCAGGACTGAAAAGGAGTGTTAAGATCCCAAACTATTCTTAAAAGTCCACATACTAAAGCCCATATAAATAACATGTTAAATAAATAACAAATTCTGGCAGTATTTTAATTATATTAGTATAGAAATCAAAGAAAAATGCCTTGCATAGTGAACAACAAAATGTATGAAAAAAACTAGACTGGATACATTATAGAACGTTATTCCTCAGTTTGAATTTCTGTTTTGTCTCTCTACTTTCGCCAAGATCTATTTTTTAGGAATAAGAACGTTCATAGCAGGGAGTTGTCTTCACAAAGGAAATAAATATGGAATAAATGTTAACCACACTTAACAAAGTCTAATCATTCTTGTATTATTTGCTTCACAAAAAAGCACGACTATCTATATAGTAAAACTATCATCTTTCAGAACTTATTTCAGAATTTTCCCAATTAATGAAAAAAATCATAGTCCCAGAATCATCTTTGTAAAAATATTTAAGCAGTTTCATGTTCATTTTTAATTTTGTGTATATTAACGTAAATGTCTACAAACAAAATGCCTTTGATATAAATAATCTAGAAAGTTCAAGATTCTGTCAGAGCATGAAACAAAAATATTATTTAAAAGAGTTTATTAGACAAATGTATTCAGATCATTGAGAGCCTACATAATTTAACAAATGTGCATTTAGCATACATTCCGGAAAGAGTGCTGTGCTGGACTGGGTTAGGGAAAATGGGCAAACATTACCACAAAGCACACGTCGGCAGAGAATGTACACTAAATTCCTCAGAGATGGAACCTCCAGATGAATGCAAATAATTTTCCCAGATTAAGCAATAAAAAACTGACACCCACTTAAAATCAAAACAGAAGTTGGAACATAACGAGACACTCTCCCACAGTGAAACTCCAGAGTATGTACCACACACCCACAGAAAAAATATGACCATGGAAACCCTCCATATTCTTTCTATGTTAAAGTAAAAATAGGATATCTCAAACTTTAAGATATTTTATATCTCATGGCAAAAGATAAAATAAATGTCCTCTGAAGCGAAAAATGATTAATGTTTAAGAGATAACTACTAGCTGTGCTGTTTTTTGATTAAAATGCCAAAACAAAACACAGTACTTATACGTGTAAGTTTTACAGGCTCCAGACAATAATGAGGAAGAAAAATCAAAGAATTTAATTTAGATTCTGCCCATACTGGGCAGAATGTTTTGCAACCCATATTTTCCTTTTTAAAAAACAGACCAAATCTAATGTTTTTTAAATCTGATGGTTACTTTTTTAAAAAAACAGCTTTCTAGATTTAATATTAGTTTCTGAATTATCTATTACTTTGTTTTTATTATTTTCTCTTTTGATTTGATGGAGTTTCCCCTCTAACTTCTTGCCTTGGATGCTTAATTTTCATTCTCCTTGTAAACTGTTTAACAACGAAGGCATTTATGACTATGCATTTGCCTCAGAGTATAGCTTCAGCCACATTCCATAGGTTTTTTGTTTGTTTGTTTTAGAGATGGGGTCAGACTACGTTGTCCAGGCTGGAGTACGGTGGCAATTCACAGGTGTGATCTCACTACTGATCAGCACCAGAGTTTCTACATGCTTCATTTCTGACCTGGGCCAGTTCACCCTTCCTTAGGCAACCTGGAGTTTCCCCACTCCAGGGAGGACATCATATTGATGCTGAACTTAGTGCAGACACCTGATCCACATAGCACACTACAGTCCAGAACACCTAGCTAGGGTCAAGCGATGCTCCTGCCTTAGCCTCCTTAGCAGTTGGGACTACAGGTGTATACCACCATGCTGGGCCCCATAGGATTTTCATATGTGGTATTTTATTATTAACACATTTTTAATAACCTGTCATTCTATTTTTTATTCCTTTTTGACCTAAGAGCTTGAAAATGTCTTTTTGGCCAGGAGCAGTGGCTCACGCCTGTAATCCCACCACTTTGGGAGGCTGAGGCGGGTGGATCACCTGAGGTTAGAAGTTCGAGACCAGGCTGGCCAACATGGTGAAACCCCATCTCTACTAAAAATACAAAAATTAGCTGGGTGTGGTGGTGCACACCTGTAATCCCAGCTTTGGAAGGCTGAAGCAGGAGAATTGCTTGAACCGGGGAAGCGAGGTTGTAGTGAGCTGAGACACTGCCACTGCACTCCAGCCTGGGTGACAGAGTGAGACTCCGTCTCAAAAAGAAAAAACAGAAAATGCTTTTTTAAATTTCCAAATGGTATTTTCCCTGAATGTAAATATTAACACTTTCTTTTTATTATGAACATATTATTTTTTAAATCTGATAAGACAGGTCATTTACTTATATCCTTACGTAAGGGCCAACTATACGTATTACTGAATAACAAACATTTTAAAATAACTTATTTAGAATACATTTCATTTGGAGTACTGACATTATTTAAAGTTTATAAATTATTTAAAGGAAACAATGAAAAGCTAGACAATTTTGTATCCTTTACAAAAGCTTTACAATTTTGTCAAAAGCATGTAGCATGAAATCATATGTATTCGCTAGTTTTTCCAAAAATTAAAGACATTAATAACCAGTAATTTTATAAATTCTTTTAAAAGAACTATCTAATGCTAATGCACTAAAAATTAAGCCACCATTTAATTTATTTGTGATAACAGAAAAGAGACTGTTAACCTCAAGTGTCCTGTCACTTCTAAGCCCATTATTTATTTTTTAAAATCTCAATAAATTTCCTAAAAATAGAAACAGTAAGCCTTTATAAACAAAACGAACTCCGTGACTTATTCTTCACATCTCATAATGCAAGCTTTTTTTTTTTTTCTTTTTTTAAGGGGAAAAAATGCATCATATACAAAGCAACACATCTTCTTAGAACATTTAACTCTGGCAGTTAAAATTAAGCTAGCTATTTTGATTAAATACAGAGAATACCCTATAAAAAGTGCTGAAAGAGGATACTCCTGAGATTTTCTTCTAGTTATAAAATTCTTTCAAATAATCATTATTGCAATTAAGATTATCCATCTAGCACCATATTCCCGGTAATTTACTTTTTACAATCTTGATCAGCACACATACAATTTACCTTTTCTATAAAAAGATTTTATATATTTAAAAAAGGTAATTCACAAGAACAAGAACATGAATGCCTTCAGGCAAAAAGAAAGTTTATTTTCTTTTTTAGTTACACTTGTAAAGTACACAAGGATTTAATTAGGTTAAGATAAAATACAGAAAGTCTATATTAAGTACTACTTTTTAAAAATCAAACTTCTATAAATTGCTAACTACTACAATACTATAATGAGTAAGTTTTAATGCTATAGGCATTTAGGGAAATTCTGGGTATGTCAACACTGGTCAAAAGGGAAAAAAAATTCTGTGAGGAAAAATGGAAATCGGCACATATTACTATACTTTCCAATGACTTTTATCTACCTAAATTCACTTCAATAGTAGAAATACAAAAGTATAATCCAAATATCCTGGAAAAGCCATTACATGACTCTATGGTATAATCAAGAATTCCACAAAATTGAGAAATCTCAGTTCCCAATCTACTATTAAGTTAATGGTTCTTAGCCGTCCTTTGAGAATACGATGAAAATAATGGATTCTTGCCCTAGAAAAAGACATACAATGAAGCATACTCCTTCCAGGTCATTCATGGACCCCTGAATTAACTTCCTATCGCATAAACGAGGTGAAAACATCACTTTTCTATATCTATTTTCTGAGTGTATAGGGGAGTGGAGGATTTTCAAATTATTCTTTCATTTAGTGTTAGGTTGGGGAAGAGGGAAGAGGTATTGGAAGAAAAAAAAGTCAACAGAAAACCTTCTTTCATGTTTTTTTCCTAGTTCTTAAATTTCTACAAGGTTTTAATAGGTCGTGGAAAGGTGTGGGATGAAAGAGGAAACGTCTCTCTAGTTTAAATAATTTGCTCACAGCACTTGCTGCTAGGATAATCACAAACAGCTATGCTAAAAATTACCATCTAAATAGTTAATTATATTTCCTCTAGGATGAAAGGAACTCTAAGTATACATAAGGTAGCATTACTGGTTTTAGTCCTGGCATCCTAGTGAAGGAACAAAATGTTGAACCCTTTCATTAGTAACACACATACAAGGAAATGATTCAAGGAAAATTCGTATTCATTTGTCAGGCTTTGAAATCTCAGGTATTTTTGATAGATACCTTCAAAAATGTTTTTAAATCAAACTAGATATAGGCTGTATACAGAATACTTCTGGGTCACATAAACGCCTATGTGTATTTGCCAAGAGGCTCTATATCAATTTCTCTTTGGTAATTCCATGTATTGTTTTACAAAACTCATTTGTGTCTTCAGAGTTATATTCACATAAAGCTTTTTTTTTAAAAAAAAAAAAAATAAGTCTTGTGTAAAAACAAGTATACACAACTAGGAAGCTGTGCTTTGCCTGCTAAGAGTCCGATTTCAAAATAAAAACCGGCTACAACTACATATAGACACATACAGGAATTTGGGAAATCTTATCTCATTAATTCAGGTGCTAGTTATCCATCTGTAAAATTAAAAGGCAGAAATTACTAGCCTCTCTTCTTCCGTCTTCTAGTCATCAATGGGCAAGGCCTTCGAAGAAGGGAATAGAGTGAATAAACTTGGGCTTCAAAATAAGTCGTTTCGCAGAGATCTTAAGAGTGGAAAATACTGGGGGAAAACTATTGTTTTCGATTACTTTTAACACTGTTCTTATCCCTGCCTGCTAGCACCTACTAGCATGGATAATCAGGAATTTGATGCAATTAAAAACAAAACAGAACACTGATGGGACTACTTTGCGAATATGAAAACGGGTTCGAAAATAAGCTTATGCTTTACACCCTTAAAATAGAAACTAGCTTAAAAAAAAAAACACTAATTACCATTCTTTGCAAAATAACTGGATAAAAGGACAAGGGGAAATCGTAGTATCGTTTCTTAAAAGAAACACCTCCGTAAAACCACTGCAAAAACAATGCTTCGCTCCATTGAACATAGATCTAAAAGGCCCGTGACTTCCCTTCATCTGTAATTACCACACATTCTCTTATAGTCTTTCTGGGTGAGAAGCCTTCAAACGCCTTTCCACCTTGAAAACACATTCCAGAGCTGAAGGGAATGGGGGAAGTGGGGAGACTGCTGGAAGTTATAAGCCCTCCTCCCAAGAGAGCAGGGACAACTTGGAGCCTTCTGACCCCTGCACCAAGCCGGGGAGAAGCGGCAACGGCGAGCCCTCCATCAGGGAAGTAATCAGGGTTGGAAAAGCCCCCAAGTCCCAGGCAGCAGCTGGAACAATGAAGGAGAGCCGGGAGCTGCCAGGATCCCAGGTAAGGGGGTCTGCGACCGCAGGACCGGCCCTCGGTCCCCACGTTCGGAGACCTGGGCCTGGCCTGGAAGGAAGCGGCGACCCCAACCCCCGGCTCGGCGGGCCCAGCCCAAACCCGCGTACCTGCTCTGTAGGGGCTCGGTCCATGGTGCCTGCAGCCGCAACGGGCCCGCGCTAGTCGGTGTAAATAGCGCCTTGGGCCGCTTTCTCCATGGCCCCCCGCTCGGGTCCAGACTGGGTTCCGGACCTCCGCCCCTATCTGGCTAGCCGCGACACCGATTCGGCTACGCCACTGGCCGAGGAGGCGGCTCCAGCTCCGGGAGATGGAGGAGGCGGTGGCAGCTTCGGGGAGGGATCATCTGGGACGGAAGCCGAGGAGGGCCCGAATGGGCGGGAGGCGTAGTTAGAAATGGAGGTGCACGGAAGGGAAAGGAGTGGGGAGGAGGCAGAGAGGGGCAGTGGGCGGAGTGACAGCAAATGGCCTCAGCAAGGGTAGCAGGAACCCGGCCTGGCCTAGAGGCTGAAGCCAGGTGGAGGCGCCCAGGAGCAGGTGCCCCGAACCACACGCCACCCCTGCGACTGTTAAAGGAGAAGTGTCAGAAGACCACCTGGGACCCAGGTCACACGGGCCCTCAAAGACCTCTTCAGGATCTGAAACCACCTCTTAAGAGATGTTGGAAAAGCTTTCATCTGCCCACCGTACATCTGCTCCTTCCTTATGTTACGCAAATAAAGGGAGTCATGACTATAAAGGAATGAGAATATTCTGAAAATAATGGAGTCTTGCCCTAGAAAAATGCATATGTAAAACGCATACACAGAATGATTGGAAGAAAGGGCTCCTCACAAATATTTATTGATTAGTTAATTCGTTGTCCAGGTTCATGCCCACCTCTAGGCTCACATCCAGGCTGACCTCGCCCATCTCAGAACTCCAAATTTTATGCAGGATCTGTATAACACCACCCAACAGGTAATTATTTTATCTTCAGATCCTTAGCTCCTTAAGGGCAGACGCTGTCTTGAAACTGGACACTACCGTTAGCATGGCAAATACCTTCTGGGCATCTCCTCAGACACACCTTCCAACACCCACACCCTCCGTGAAGATTCAGCCAACCGCGGATAGAAATATTTTGGGGAAAAAAGAAATAACAAGTACAACAATAAAATACAAGTAATACAGTTTAACAACTGCTTATACAGCATTTACATTGTATTATGCATTATAAGTAATCTAGAGATGACTTAAAGTATATAGGAGGATGTGCATGGATTATATGCAAATACTACACCATTTTATATAAGGATCTTTAGCACGCATGGATTTTGGTATCAGCAGGGATCCTGGAGCCAATATCCCCCTGGGATGTTTAGGGACAACTATATAAGCTAAATTACACTTCAGTGAAGGAAGAGAGTTCAGGTGGCTGCTGTTTGGGGCACTGGTGTGGAGATCCACAGCTAGGAATGGGAAAGAGATTTTAAGAAATTCGCTTTGTCATGCTTCAGGAGACGTCCGTAAAGACTAATTGCCTTTTCAATTAGTCTAGGTTATTAGTCTGGTTATTAGATTCCAATATGAGGCTTGTTATGTGAAGGTCCCTTGCTGTACTTATGTTGACACAGGTTGGGTATCTCTAATTGGAAACTATGAAATCCCAAACCCTCCTGAATCCCAAATATTCCAAAATTAGAAACTTTTTGAGCACAGACATGACATTTAAGGGTAATGTTCATTGGAACATTTTAGATTTTGGACTTTCAGATTAGAGATGCTCAATCAGTAAGTATAGTGTAAGTCTTCCGAAATCCCAAATCTGAAACGCTTATGGTTTCAAGTATGTTAGATAAGGGACATTCAACCTGTATTATATATTGGCCTGCTGAAAGGAACTATATTGTGTCAGCAAGACTTATATCAAGGCTGGCAATAGAAACAGTTTGAAAGGAGAAACATTCATATTTACACATTTATATTTAGATTTAAATATATTTATTTAATTTTAGTAACTTTTCTACCTCCTCAAATTTAATATAAATGCATGTGTATTTGAATTGCAAATGTACGTAACATTTGTACATATATGTGCAATTAAAGTAACGTTAGGTCCCTAGTGCCTATCACACACCTAGTTGGGATTCAATGAATGCTGAATGAATTTAGGGTTGGTTGCTCAGAAAAATTAAGTTATTTATAAGGAGCAGTTATGTAAACTAACAGATGACCATTTTTCTTCACAATTGAAAGATAAAATAACTCTGAATTTTCAGATTGTCTTCCTACTGCTGGTCTATAGCCATAATATACCCTCATCTGAGTAAAAAGATAATAGCAATACACTCATAAAAATACTATAGTACTTTTGCTTTTCTTCCTTCTTCTGAGGAATGATCTGAGGAAATTTAAGCAGGATTCCCAAGGATCTTTCCACATTGTCGGATTTTTTATGACTGTAAAATCGTTTTCATTGAGAATCTTCTACATACAAGACATTCGTTAAGGGAGGCTGAGGCAGGAGAATGGCGTAAACCCGGGAGGCGGAGCTTGCAGTGAGCTGAGATCCGGCCACTGCACTCCAGCCTGGGCGACAGAGCGAGACTCCCTCTCAAAAAAAAAAAAAAAAAAAAAATTATAAGAACAAAATCATAAGAATTATAAGAACAGAAATGTCACAATGCCCTTCTCATTTAACTTAATCTTTAAAAAGATGGCAATAGCTAGTAGATAAAAAATTAAAATCTGTGAAAAAAGGAAGGCATTTTAAAAATACTACATTTTACAGATGATATAAATGAATGCAAATTATTTTATTCACCAATAAATATTTAATGTGCGAGGTACTATGCTAAATACTAGAGATACAGCAGTTTATGAGACACCGTGAGGGCTGAGACCATGTTTGTCTTGTGGGCAAGACATGCATAGGACAAATCGTTATAAGTGAGATGAGTGTCATGAAAAAGGAAGTACAATAGGTGTTACCATGGTAAGGGATGGAAGGTCAAGGAAGGCGTATTTGAATAAATAGCATCCACAGAAAGACCTGAAGGGTGAGTAGGAGTTATGATTAGTAAAGGAGAAGAAGCAGGAAAATTGTTTCAAGAAGAGGAAATGGCAAATGTTAGCATTCTGAGGAAAGAGAAAATTCAGCCTTTAGTACTCACACAAGCTCATCCCTTGAGATGAGGGTTCAGAATGTGAGGGATAATCCAATAGATGAAGGCCTCTGAGAAGCTTGGAGGGGATAGAATACAAATACCAGGGGGAAGAAATAGACCTTTGATGGGAGTAGGGGCATGTTATCTACTGTAACAGAGGAAAGGAAGAAAAGATTGATATGGCTACAGATTATATACATTTACAAGTTTCGTGCCGAAAGTTGAGGGAATGCCTAATGGCTTCTGTTGTCTCAGTGATGCAGGAGGCAAGGTTACCTGCTGACAATAAACAGAAGTGGAATTGTGATGACTAGGCACTCATCAAAATTCAGCAAACATATAGTTAAGATAGGTACATGTCATTATATGTACATTTTATCTCAAAAGAAAAAAATATAACCAAATATTGAATTCTAGCTTTAACAAATGCGTACACCTATGTAATTCAAATCTCTATCAAAACATAGAGTGTCACCATTACCTCCAGTGACATTTAAAACTTCTCTACTTATATCAAATGCTTGTCTTAGACATTGTTGTTATTCTTACTACCTATACCAAAGCCTAGCATGCAGCAGGTGCTCAATAAATATTATTGAATAAATGAACTGTAATATGATATTAAATCAGGATTCTTTCATCCAGGGTTAGGGTTTTGTTAGGCATGTGCATTTTATTGAAGGAGCAGGATTCACTAGGGTGCAAGTAGAATTATTATTTATTGTCCTGTACCTTCAAATTACCTGAAGACTATTTCTTTTTCTGCCTTGGATGAAATCTCATGAAGGTCACACACACTTTATTCCACGTCAAAACTTCTCCTTTTCCCCAGCTCAGTCCTGCTTCAGGCTGGAAGCCTGCGGTGAAGGACGTGGCTTGGTCCACTTCAGTTTTGTTTTCTACGTTTTATGTCTCCACCTCCTCTACCTTAAACACTCTCTGATTAGGCTTTTAGATTTCTCCAGGTTTGAACTCTGAGGGGGAGGGTGGCAGAGCTTCTCAGATGTTTAATTACTACTTTCCTGCATGTTTACATGCAGCAAAGTCATCTCAGAGAGTCACTTATGACCCTAGCCCTCAGCCCTTGGACTTCTGAGGGTTTAAATCTCAACTTGATCACTTTGGGGAACAGCAAGGCAGCCTTATTTGCTGGATTCCCTTTTAAAATGGCTTCAGGCAGAATTCCTGGGATCCCATCAATCCCTGGAATCATTTTGCTACCCTTGATTTATCATATAACTATCCATCCCTCTCTGCCTTTATCCAGCTATTAATTCTTCTTATTTTTGGTGCATGTCAAAGTAGATTGCAGACTTCAGTACACTTTGCCCTCGGAAAAATTCATATAGACACAGTAGGCAAAAATGCAGCTTGTTCTCACTGTTTCTCTCAGATCCTTGCATTCTACCACACTCCAGGCAACATGTATCAAGTTCTCCAAGTGTTTCCCAGAAAGCTTCTCTCACATAGCTTAAGGTAAGCGGAAGCATCTCCTTTTACCCATGGGAGGTGTGGGTATGTATAAGGTATACAAAACAGTACCCTTCCTGAGTCATTGTCTTAGTCTGTTTTCATGCTGCTGATAAAGACATACCCAAGACTGGGCAATTTACAAAAGGAAGAGGTTTAATGGACTTGCATTTCCACCTGGCTGCAGAGGCCTCACAATCACGGTGGAAGGTGAAAGGCACACCTCACATGGTGGCAGATAAGAGAACAGAATGAGACCCAAGTGAAAGGGGTTTCCCCTTATAAAACTATCAGATCTCATGAGACTTATTCACTACCATGAGAACGGTATGAGGGAAACTGCCCCATAATTGAATTATCTCCCACTGGGTCCCTCCCACAACATGAGGGAATTATGGGAGCTACAATTCAAGATAAGATTTGGGTGGGAACACAGCCAAACCATATCATTCTGCCCCAGCCTCTCCCAAATCTCACGTCCTCACATTTCAAAACCAATCATGCCTTCCCAACAGTCCCCCAAAGTCTTAACTCATTTCAGCATTAACTCAAAAGTCCACAGTCCAAAGTCTCTTTTGAGACAAGGCAAGTCTCTTCTGCCTGTGATCCTGCAAAATCAAAAGCAAGTTAGTTACTCCCTAGACATAATGAGGGTACAGGCATTGGGTAAATATACCCATTCCAAATGGGAGAAATTGGCCAAAACAAAGGGGCTACAGGCCCCATGCAAGCCTGAAATACAGCAGGGCAGTCAAATCTTGGAGCTGCAAAATGATCTC